CTAAATCATTATCCTCTCTTATGGGGCCATACAGTCTTACCTCTGCCTTCAACTCTGAACCATTATCCACCAATGCTGGTCACTCCCTCTGCTTGCTCCAATCTTCTGCTTTCATCGCTTTCTCCTATGCAAGGCTTTACACCCCCAACATACTTTCTCCTCATTCACACATCAGCCTCTCTTCAAGCAATCACCATTCCCCCCTTCCTTTCTAACTAACAAGATGACAAGCTCTTTATTGTGAGCTGTGATCTTAACAAAAAAACCCAAACAGGGCAGGGAATTTGTTTTAACTCTCTGTAAAGTCCCCTTTAAATGTATATAATATATATGCAAATTTTAGAGATGGTGGTAAGACCCCCAGCCTGGATGTGTGGTCGATTTAATTTTCATGTGGACATTCCTTGATGGCCTTTTATAATGTTTCATCCTTCAAACATTTGGTTTCTTTTTTCTTTTAAATCTATCCTAAAACATTCCTTGTTGAGAATTAAGTTTGTTTCTTTTTTACTTCCACCCAATGGACCACTTGAATAATTGATCACTGTACTCCTTCCTGTACAACCCTTCATGCACTGGAAGACTTACTGCATTTCCAACCTTACCTAGTTTCCTTGTCAAGTTCATGCAGTTCAAGCTTTCTTCATAGGTCATGTTTTTTAAACTTATCACTCGTGTAACTTCCCTCTAAACTTTAGCCATGTGGAGTGTGGTGTCTAAAACTAGATGCCATACTCCAACTGAGGCATGCCACTACCACAGAGAACCACTACCACCACCAGCAAAGAGTAAATTACCTATTTTGGGCACACCACTTACATTAATACATCTAGCAATAATATTGGTTTTTGCAGCAGCAGCAGCACACTGTTGACTTGCATTCAACCATTAATTTTCTATAATACTTAGGTATTTATCTCGTGAGTAAAATGAAACACATGCATAAGTGTATACAAGTGCAGGACTCGACACAGTAAATTTGGTGACAGCACCCAGCTCTTACTGTGTGATTACACGGTATCAAGCGCAAAGGGCCCCTGACAGAGATTGGAGCTTCTTGGCAAAATAAAGTTCTCTCATACGTTAAAAAAGGCAGCACTGCTATTTATCTGTTCTACAGTGTGCTGTGACGATTAACTCGTCCTTAAAAGTACCAGTTTTCAAGCAAAGCAAACTACAGAGAGGTAACAGAGGAGACCAAGATACAGATATGACAGCAGGAAGTAAAGGAGAACAGCAGAAAAGCAAGGGGAAGATCAAAGGTATTAATGTGAAAAGAGAAAATAGGTGAAAGTTGTGATGCTTTTCAACCAAAAGGTGATGGAGAAGCAAAATGAGACAGAGATGGAAGGAGTTTAAGGAAGGATAAAAAAAAATATGCGAAGAGTAGAGTAAAAAAGCATGTGCTGCTCTTTTTGCTCTTCTATTGTACTAACCGGAGTATAAGGGGCAGTTATTTGACCCACCTATGGCTCTGACTATGTTGGATTCTATAGTTAAATAGCTGTAGGAAGACAGAAAAAGCCTGTCAAAATCCATACAAATCAGAATGACAAAGGCATGCCCTGGACAGTGGTGAGCTCAGTAGATTCAAACTGACCAACCTGATGGTCTTCAAAGGCTTGATCACTCCTAAAAGTCAAGGTAGATGCAATGCATAAATAAAAGATGTCTCTGCCAAGCCTCTGCTTTGATACAATACGTTCAAATCCAAGCTTCAAAAAGCAACACCCGCAAAGAAGCAGTAACTACTACTGAGGAGAGGCTGCTTGCAAACTTTAACTCTATTTAAACATGCAATGAGAACTATTTTGACAAAAGTTCAAACATTTGGGTAATGTAAAAAAGGTAGGAGATTTTTGATAAGTCTGTCTGCTTTACTATCATCATATCTCCTCTATGTGAGGCCAGTGCCAACTCGATCCTGGAGGGTCTACACCTCTGCAGATGACAAGGGTGGCTGACAGCCCAATCATGACACCAAACAAAATTTCACCAGTGTCAAGAACTATCATGTCCAAGGGGGGCACAACCAAGCCAAAGTCTATTGCCTTGAGGTATGGATCAGTGTCATATTAACAATAAACCACAGACAGCTGCAGAATGGAAAGGAGTGGGAGGAAAGGGAGAGACAGCAATATCAAGCAATACTCAGAACCTAATTTCTTGTTAAGAGATGCACTGTCCAGTAAGGCAGGAGACTGGATTCATAAGGTGAGACTTGCCAGAAGAAAAGGGGCAGAATACTTTTAGACTGCTGAAAGGACAGAAGCAAAACCCCTCTTACCTCTGTTTGGAAAGGGAACGGGGGGGGAAGGGGAGGGGGCTTCTTACACACATGCATTTTCCCATAGATCTGTACATCGGTCGTGCTTTGTCTATGATAAAAGTGTGATTGTTTCAGAGATTCCTTGGTAAGGTCTGTGCACCACTTGCTTTCTCTATCAGAATCTAAAAGGGGAAAATGTTAACCCAGAGGTAAAAAGCTTCAGAATAGAGCGTGCAATTTAGTGTGGGAAGGCATGGGAGGGCCAGCACTACTCTTAGACTAGGCAGCTGGGCTGATATAGAGAATTTCTTATTTCAACACAGGTGCAGCACAAATTAGATGAACCTGCCTAGAAGCCCAGAATGAGGAGGTCACTGGATTGTCTAGAGGCAGAGAGCCAAAGACCAGCGAGATCCAAGGTTTGGATCTCAACAACTTGGTGAACATCCACAAAGGGAGCTCAGCTACAGCTACGTCTAACAGGTCCACTTCACAGCCTTCAAAATGGACTGATTTTAGAAAATACTTTAAGTAACACTGAGTTTAAGGTCTAAGACTCTCTACCTCCAAGGAAGAAATGTCACATTTGAGGCTGATATTCTGAACTTGTAGATGTGTTGCTCTAACCTCAGAATTCAACAGCAGGGTCACCTTAGACATTTCCTGACTTTGTGATGTGTAGAACAATAAAATATTCCAATTCATTAGAGACTGCAGTTCTTTGCAATAGCAAAGGGGTGTTTTTTCATTTTTTTTTAAATTAGAAATATTAGGAAGTTGCATACTTTCTCTGAAATGCCATCTCATCATTGCTGTTTACTATTTAAATATGTATAAAAAATTCTAGTATTTCTGCTAACTTCTGAAAAATTCATTCAGCAACAAACTAAGCCTATTTGCCATATGATGTGTTGCCATGGGAATAATTCTGATGTCTCACGCTCTGGACAGTGACGTCACTACATGAGACCATGAGAAAACAGTACACAAAAATGATAAGATATGGTCACAGACAGGTATCTTCGGGCATACAAACATGGGAATAAAAAAAAAAGAGAAAATACAAGAATTTGGTGACATTCTGAATGTCAACTTTATCACACGTAGCTCTAGAACCAGTGTCACTAAAAAAAGAAAGAAAGTCACCAAAAAAAAATAAACCTTTAAACTACTGATACATGAAAAGAAAAGAAGATCAATAGCAAAAAATAAAATAAAATAAAACAAATCACATGTTCGCTGCATTTCATTTGTAACCTATAGTTTTTGATTCTGACCAGAGAAGCAACAAGGAATAAGCCATCATACAGACCAGCACAGTCACACCGACAGATCTACATTCAACTTGAAGGAACAGACGGTTTAAATGATCTTTAAAAGATTAAGGATTTAGAACAGCAGCTTCCAACATGACTGTTTTGCATGACTTCCCTGGTTTTGCTACATCTCTTGCCCTCAAACACTGTATACACATATACCAAGACTGCACTTTGAGACTTTATTTTTGCCGTAAACGAATTCAATTAAAAAAATTAGCTGTATTTACCTCCTTGCATAGATCCACAGAAAATTCTGTCTTCAAAGAGATGTGCATAAACCATAGGCTTTCAGACTACATTATAAAATTATCCTTTGGCAGGTATGATTCATGATAGTTTTTCTTTCACATATGAAAGTTTATAGTAGATTATTAAAAAGGACTCAATTCACCAATATATCCACATTTATCAGCTTGGACATATTTGATATCTCTAACTTCTTTCCTATTGTTTTACTTCTATTGATGGATGCCCATTATCATCAATATGCCAGCATCTTATTTTCACCTAGGTTGTACTATTAATTACAATCCAGACATGAGGGACATAAAATAGCCAAGAACAAAATTCTCAGCATAACTGCAGGCAGGACACTGATGCATTTTACATACTCTGCCAAATAAATGTAAGCTATTACTTATACTTAATCCCATTTAGAAAATCAGGAGTCATGCTGAAGTAAGATTTTAATTTCTAAATGCAGCAACTCAAGCTGTCTTTGTATCTTACCACTTATTTGAAAGATTGCTTTGCAGCATTTAACACAAGGCTTGCCTGGACTATAAATATCTTAAACATGAATGTTTAACTATTTAGATTTGGGGTTTTTTTATTCATATGAAACAGGAAGAAAATCTGAATTGATTGATTTAATAGGCTGTTTGTAAGAGCCCTTATAAATTAAATCTTTTCAAAAGTGTACTTCAATTTTTTAAATTCACTATTGTGACACATTTCAAGTAAAACTATGTTACCCATGAGGGCCGATTTACTTTGGTGAGAAGTGGTACCAGGCAACTACAAATCCATTTATTTTGGCCATTTTAAAGTCATAATTTGCACAGAATTTTAAACCTTCACTAATTATATGCAAATGTTAAACAGCTAGTTAATTTGTTGGTTTTTTTTACTGGCTTCATCACAGTACGCTCAGTACTCCATACAAGCCAACAGCAGATAGCCAAGAAATGTATATATGCATATACAGATGCTTCCTTGTCCCACACACACACACACACACACACACACACAGAGCACGGACATTTTTCAAGGTAACTTATGCCTTTGCTTCTTTTGTGTTAAACTGCAATTTTGTTTAAAAGTGTAATTACAATGTTGCCACATGAATGAAAATAAGTAATAAAAAAAAGAATTAAAAAAAAAAAAAATCAGTAATTTTATTGCCTATTTACCTGGACCTCATTTGTCCTCTGTTTGATGGCATCTTCTTTCTCCTTGAGGTCCTGTTCCACGTTATTCTTTTCCCTAGAAGACCAGCAAACAATGCAAGAATACTTAAGAACATCAGCTACAGCAGGTACAGTTATCCAGCCCCCTAATCCTGTATCTCTTTTTAGATACATAGCAAAACATTAAATTTAGAAAAAAAAACTGTAGGGCAACTCCGTCTCTTAAATTATTTCCAAAGAAGGAATCTACATATATGCCCAGTGTAAAAAATGCCTTCTCACTGAAGTGTGCTTAGGTGAAAAGAATAGCTCAAAAATGGAAGAGGAAAAAAAAAAAATCAATGAAATACTGTCTTCAGTGATCTCACTGTTGCTATGGAGCAATTGTCTAATGAAAACTGCTGGGAAAAGGGGGAGGGATTGCATCAGCTTCCATTCTTTAACCCTTGCAAACATGAACAAGTTGCTAGCACCCAGAACACATTTCCTTGTATGAGGAAATAGTTACAGATGACAGGTTTATCTGTATTAAACAGATTTTAGGGACACTTACTGGTAAATTTAGAGTCAAAGCAAAATACATTAAGCAGCATGTTTGCAGTAATTCCCTTAACAGTTATTTGTTGCATCATACCAAGTCCGTTGTTAGAGAAATATATTCCAATTTAAAAAATAGCAATTACAGACAACTGAGCATTTTATCACCAAGAAATCTTAGCTATTATTGGTATTAGTAGTTAAAATAAGCAAAACAAAAGGTTTCCTTTTTAAATGTATATGCAAGTATTTTTAAAAGAACAATTCTCCTGGTCTTTGTGGCTGCTTGAAAACATCCCAAGCTTAACAAAGCTATTATTGTTAAATCTGAACAAGTGAAAGTATTTCCTAGAAAGATAAATTAGTGCTTTTTTACCACTGTTACATTCAGAACACATGCAATTCTTTCAAGGCTAAAACAAAAGTTGTGTTGATAAATCTAATGTTCCTCCTCACCCCTAAGTTGGAACTCAAAAGTGGTATTTCAGACTTTTTAAAATAAAGTTTTAACAGTAGTTTCAGGGGTGTTGGTTATAGCCGTGTGGGTCCAAGAAGATAGGCACACAATGTTCTTTGGGTAAATGTGGTATCTTTTATTTGACCAACCAAATAGTTGGAAAAAATGTTCTTTGCAAGCTTTTGGGCTTTTGTGCCCGAAAGCTTGCAAAGAACAATTTTTCCAACTATTTGGTTAGTCTAATAAAAGGTATCACATTTTCCTAAAGACCCGTGTTTTAATAGAAATTTAACATTTTCATATCAACAGAGAGATAATCAATAGAGTTCTCCATTATTTATCCTTATATAATAAAAAAAATACAGGTAACCCCTGCTTAGCGTTGTTAATTGCTTCTGGAAAAATCAAGTGTTAAGCGGAAAGGCACTAAGCAAAACCCATTTCCCCATAGGGCTGAATGTAAATACAAATAACTGGTAACCGCTGCTTCTCGCTGCCGTTGCCTCCACTTCAGCCATGTGCCAGCCTGGGCCCCATGCTCCTGCTATCCCGCCCTGGGCCCTGCCAGCCCTGGCCCCGATGTGGACCCTGTGCTCATACCCACTCGATGCTTCTCATCGTCACCGCCACCATTGCCAG